TCAATTTTAATCATGTTATTAAAGTAACAATTCTGCAGAAATATTGTATTAGTTCTAAATCATACTTGTTAATATGTACTAGAGTAATCACATTTGAACTTTTGTTGAATTTCTATTCATATTCCTTAATTGAATATATGTTACTGTTTGTTTATGACATCAGGTGCTGTCTGGTAAACTTTTGTTGTACATTTTTGCATAAAATATAATCAAAAGAAAAATTGGTTCACCTACAGTACCACTAGCCTGTGGTTGACGCGGAGGTTGTGAGTTCTAAACCACCACGTGGGAGGGTCGTTCGACTCCAAATCTTTATTGACTAGGATTGTCAGTTTTTTCTGACAAAGGTCGGTGGTTTTCTCCGGCTTCCTCTATCAATAAAGACCAACCACCAAGATATAGCCAATAATGCTGAAATTGGCGTTAAACACCAGCAATTAATCAATTAATCTTAAAACTGCATGCTCTCGTTTATTTGTTTAATTTATTTCTATTATCTTTCTTATTTTTGTTATGGAAATCTTTCAAAATGATATATACGTTGAGATATGAAAATAAATGACATATTTCATTATTGCCATTGGCAAATATTACACTTTGAAATATATCTGAAAGAAAATCGAATGACGACCTGATCAGTTGTCTTTATATATAGTTTCTATTTGATTGAATTTGAATTAATAGTATTAATCGTACTTATTATTTTGAATGAGATCTACAATTATGTTTTTCCTAATGTCAGCATCGAACGTTAGGCAAGCCACAATCAATCAATCATAATGTCAATGTGTGACTCCTTGGTCTCAAAATTCTACGCAAAACATCTTCAATTAAACACGATTTTTCGGAACTAATATTCTTCATAAAAATGTATATGTGATCATAAAATTTCTGCACATCAAAATTGACGCTCCTTTTTTGCATTTAAAAAGATATTTAAAGGAATAAAGCCATTCATTAAGTCATTACTAAAGTAACAGCATTTGTAAGAGTGGAAAAAATAATTCGTCGTCAACTGACGAGTTGCAGATTTGCTGTTTCAAAAGAAAAAAAAATGATTTTATCTTTAAAAGTCTTTTTAATGTTTATTTTTTTTCTATGAATGGTCATATAACTTGTATTAGTATTTCATGCCGAGAAAAGACAGCCTAAAATGCTACTTTTCAAATTCAATACCAAATTAAAAGTATAGTACATTAATTAGTTACATTTTTTTAATGCTTTTTTCTCGAAATGGCTGAGACAACTGGGTGTTTCAAATACCAATTGAAATTTAGCATTCCCAGAAGCGCACATACTTAAAAAAAATGAAAGCCAAGGAAGTATTAATACTGAAATACCTTAGCTATTCAATCAAAAGTGACTGCAATAAAAGAGACAAATTCACCGGAGGTCAATTTTATGCAGTTTTTATCAAAAAGTTCCTTCAGACAGTTGTCAAAAACAAGAAGATCAAAGAAGTCAGTTAATTTAATTTCACATTCAGATATATTGATGGTATTCTTTTTCATTAACAATTCAAATTTTTCTGATTGGGTTCCATTATTATATCCTCCAGAACTAGAAATTAAAGAAACAACAGACACGGTTTCGTCTGCCTTATTTTTATTTCTAATTACGATTTTAATTTTGAAATTATCAATTTCCCCCAACTTAGTAATGATATACCAACTTCACCTGCACATGGAATATACATTATTCACTCATTCGGTATTCAAGAGATTACAGCTGCTACGCAGACTTTGTAAAACATCACCGGTGTCGGAAAAGAAAGTTGATGAACCAGGGTTATGTCAAAGAATGTCTCGTCCTTTTTCTAAAAAAAGTTCCTCGGAAGATACCAAGACCTTGTTGGTAATTATTCCATATCAACTTCACAAATATAGATACACATATTCGGTTAACCTATGGCTGGACCTGCTTTTGTACGGTTCTGTTGTTTAAGGATCCCATGAATTCGAATGCGATCAATGTACACGTTTTGATTATTTGAATAAATGTTTCTCAACCCAACACTGTAGTAAGATAAATGAATATTGTCATTATCGGTACTTAAATGGATTTTGGTTTTGATAAATATATATATATTGCTGGTTGTGCTGTATTTATTTTGCATGCACAAGTATAAAATTTGCGGTTTTTATCCAACGCAATCATAGGTTTGAACACTGTTTTCAATTTAGACTTGTTTATATTTTTTCGTTTGGGCTTGTATTATATTTGCCTTCGCTTTTATATGATCCGTTCATCCTATTTTGACTCTTGAAAATTCAAGAGTCTATCCTTAATTGATGTAAATTATATGGCCTTCCAAATACCGTTTCGATTCCTAACATCACTGAAGAGACATTAATTGTCGAAATCCGGATATGGTGTACCAATTTTTGCACCTCATGTTTGTGGTATACCATCTTTTCCGCAAGATTATTGTTCTCTGTTTGGTATTAAACTAATAATAAGATCCGTTTTGTTACATCTGGTGATCCGTTTATTTGGCAATCGCCGTGAAAGTCAGCAGTGTTTAAGAAAATCCGTTGTTCGACCTGCTAGTCAAATGCGTTTTGTTAAAATATACCTTTTCACTTTTTGGTCTTTTGGAAAATGTTGTTTGTGTTGTATTTAGACCCCTCTAACCACGAAAATTGTTTTTGTATGCACACGTATAAAAATTGCGGTTTTTAGCCAACGCAATCATAGGTTTGAACGTTGTTTTCAATTTAGACTTGTATATATATGTAGGACTCTAAAGTGCGATGGTACTCTAAAGTGCGATGGTCACGCTAAAGTACGATGGTCTACGCTAAAGTGCGATGGTGTCAGACGCTAAAGTGCGATGGTTGTTTTTTTTTTAAGTGCGATCAGATATCACGCTAAAGTGCGATGGTATGACACGCTAAAGTCCGATGGTGTAACGGGAATGTGGTTCAGGCAATGGTTTTCGTTTGTTGCTGAGTTCGTATTACATTTTCGTTTATTGTTTTATTTATATATCAAGCCATAGTCTTTCTCTTTTGAGTTGTTTTACACTGGTCATTTTATAACCCTATATAGCTTGTTATGCGGCATGGGCCAAGGCTTTACGTTGACGGCCGTATGATTATTAGTTGCATGTATACATGAACGACATTTGGGGATGGATTGATAGTTTATACTACATCTTCTTATTTTTATTTAAAGTACGATAGTTGTCCAAAAAGTGTAATGGTTAAACTGCAGTATAGTTAGTATATCCGGAATTTAGTAGAAGTAGTTTTTTAATAAAAATAATAGGTTGTGTAAGACAATGCTTCGCGTTAAAGGTCATACCTAAAGTTGCATACATCAATGACATTAGGTCGTGGATAGAGAGTTGTCGTATTGGCAATCATATTTTATGATGATACTACACATCTGTTCGTCAGGTTGCTGTCTAGTTGAAGTATATTCATTATTTAACAGAAATAACAAACCATATTGTAATTTTTTTATAGAATTATTCAATTAACAAGTAACTGTTTTGATTAAAGCTCTTTTTACAATTTTAAAAATTAAGTTAACCTCTTCCAACAACGACCAAAATAGTTCCAGATTGTGATCATTTGTTTCTCTCTTCTTTCTTTTCTTGTGTAATAATAATCCTTAATCTTGACAAACAATCTCGCCATAATGCTGTCGAACGTTGCTAACGTCGATACTTTTTGCGGAAAAACGCACTTTAGCGTGTTCAAATGAATAGCACATATCATCGCACTTTAGGGTATCAAACCATCGCACTTTAGCGTGGGCCATCGCACTTTAGCGTGACCATCGCGTTTTAGCGTCCCCATCGCACTTTAGAGTCCTACATATATATATATATATATATTGTTACACTTATGTTGATATTCTGCATTTATGAGTGGACTGGCAACAAAAAAAGGAAATAAGTGGAGACGAAATCCCTGACTTAAATAATCTAGCAGTAATGCATTGATTAGTTTCATTGAAATCTTAACCGTCATTACAGACACGGATAGAGCGGAGAAGTGTGGATGTACAAACACTGTATATGGTATTAGTATCAGGAATTATGATATTTTGCATCATTGCAAATAATTCGAAGATGTAAACAAAATGAAGATGTTTTAAATAATATCAATTGGATATTTCTTAAATTATTTTTTTTGCAATGAAGGGATTTCTTTACTCATTACCTAATGCCTTGCCAATTTCAGGAGTTCTCAAAATTCAAAAATAAAAACCCAGACTTATAATTTCGTACGTTTAACGCGCATGTTTTTTACATAAGTTACTGAGCAGTAAAAATTTGAAAATTTTAAGAAATAAAGATAAGTCATTCTATGACTGTGGGGAAAAAAACCCTTAGTCCTACATTTTCAATTCGTTTGATGTGCTTGAGCTTTTAATTTTACCATTTGTTGAAGGACTTTCCGTTTTGAATTTTTTTTTAAGTTCGGTATTTTTGTTATTTTTAGTACATTGAATAATGCAACGTTTTAAATTTCTTTGAATATTTTTTTATTGGCTTAATCCAGCTTTTTCATTGTGATCACTTATCCGGAATTTTGCTAATTTCCTTCATTTTACTTTTGAGTTTTAGATTGGAAAAGTTTTGAACTTTTTAAAATTTGTGACCAATATTAAACTTTTTTACAGCTGACAAATGAAAATTCCACAAAAACGAATAACTATTGGACGCGAGTTAATAAATCTGAACAGAAAAAAATCTAAACTTTTATCCAATAGTTATTCATTTTTGTGGAATTTTCATTTGTCAGCTGAAGAAATGAGATAGATTGCCAAATAATTCCAATTACAGAAATTTTGTATTTTTTTTTTTTCATTTTAACAAAATGATTATATTTTCATTGTTTATTTCACTTAGAGCTTCATCATTAGAACTTAATTCATCGTCATGTATTTTTTTCTGTCTTCAGCAATGATTTTGAACGGAGCAGGTTGCGTATTACTACTAATTCTAATTCGGGGTTGGTTCCTTCAGGTAAGGTAATCTTGAACCTTTACATAATCGTTGCAAAAATCAAATGAAGTTCTGGTTTAGCAACAACTTCTCCTAGACATACACGTCTCCCTGCAGAGAATGGTAACCAGCTTTCTGATTTCATACCAAGCTTTCCATTTTCCTCGGGGAAGCGTGTAGGATCAAATTTCTCCACGTCTTTCCAATAGTTAGGATCACGATGAAGTGCCCAGTGATTAATCATAACCACTATATCCTTTGGAACATCATAACCTCCTGAAAAAAAATAAAGCTATAGTAATGTTTGCAGTAATTTTGAGATAGAGATGAAATTTCACTTTGAATAAATTTTTATGCAATAATCTCATTCTTTGTTCGTCGATATCAACTGAAAATTTCAACCATCACAACATTCTATCAAAATAAAAACTCGACCAACAAACTTGTATAATAACGCTGATACTTACTCAGCTATAGGTATGGATTTGTAACTTACTATCCTCTGCCTATGATTCTATTATAAATTAGAACTTGACTTTTTTTATCAAAATAATTCTCAGTAAATTGATTGAAAGTGTTTTTTATTCGACTGTTGAATATACAATTTGTGTTAAACTGTTGCCGAATCGAAACGAAATAGATAACGTAGTAATGATGTCACAAGTTTGTGAAATATGACAGCTGCTTTTGCAACAGAAAATAATTTGTTCAAATATAGCAAATTAATCGTCTTCTGGTATTCTTTTAACGAAGAGACTGAAATGTTTATGACTGTTTTAATAATAAGAAATAGATTCTGTAAATAATAACATTATAATTTGGTTTCCTCCCCCTTCAAGCATGAACGTTACAAAATCCGTTCGTTGATCAAGGAAAGTTCTGTAATTTTTAAAGGATTATATATTTGTTTCACTTTTGGGGGAAAATTGCTCTCATATAACCCCAACTTTCACAATCAAATATTGAAACTGTTCTTAGTTTTATATCAAAAGAAATTGGTTTCTTATGAGAGTGTACCCCCTGCTTGTGGTAATTGGAGGTTTGAATAATGCGCATGTCTAACAACAGACAGAGTTACATGTATTTCAATTTTGTTTAATCAACTCATGGATGAACTGTATGTGAACCCAGAATTATTCAGTATCTAAATTTAATTTTGTTAGTATTGTAATGATACGACAAAGATTATTGGGCTAAATGAAGTCACAAATATAAGAACATAGTTTATCATAAATCAGCAAAGATGTCTGATTTCATATTGTCCAAAATAAAATAAATGCAGCATACCACAAGATGCAATAACTAATCTAATTCGGCTGCAACTCATAATCAAAATATATTAAGTCTTTAAATTAGATAGATAAGAGACAACTTAAAAGTCTGATTGATTTCAATACTCACCAACTCTTGTATCACACATTGTACTATGAGGAAGACCTACGGGAACAACTGTACCAAGTCTCATGGCTTTATGCAAGGTGGCTTCTGTATAACTGAGATTTTCTCTGTCTTTGGCCGTCGGTAGTCTATCTTTTCCTAACCAAAGATTGACATGGAAACACAAATTAAAATTTGTCAGAAAAATGTAGACTACATGTGATATATAAAAAAATATGGAGACGAGGTATAATTGCCAATGAGACAACTGTCCACCAAAGTTCAAATAAAGTGGATGCCAGCAATTATAGACAACAGTACAGCCTTTAACAATGAGAAAACCCAATACCGTATAGTCGGCTATAAAAGGCCCCGACATGAACAAAATATGAAACATTTCAATTTTGAAAACTAACGGCCTAATCTATAACAAAACAATTTACGAAAAACAAATATGACAGACGTGAACCAACGACAACAACTGAACTGCAAGCCCCTGACTTTGGACAGGCACATAAAAAATGAGGCGACGTTACACGTTTACTCCCATAAATAAAATGTTGTCAGTTGTAAATTGTTAGTTCTCTAGTACAGATATGATAAGTGTTAAGTGTTACCCTCGTCCGTCTAAACGTCCGTCCGTCCGTCTAAACATCGGTTTTACTATATTTCCTTGTTAATTACATCATAAAAGTAATAAGTTCGTTCCAAAAGATAAATTTCTTTTTGATATTTTTTATTAAAGTTTTGGATTACGGTTACGATTGTTGTGTTCACTTTTTTAAAATATAATCTTTTCTTATATAACAACATTGAATATGATGTTTTTAAAATTTTACTACACGTAAATATAGTATTATTATTTTCAACTAAATACGTTTGGTGTCATAACTTTTTCGAACACTTTCCAAACATCAATTATCAATGTTATTAATAAACTAACAGTTTATTTTTTATCCTCTGTCACATAGCAATCACATTAGGGTTAACCCAGCATTTCCTTTGGAAAAAGGATGTTTCAAGTCAGGAATATGACGGTTTTTGTTTATTCATTCCGTTGGCTGATAAAGTCGAGTGTTTGGCTTTTTCAGCTTTTATGGAATTCACCTCTTTTGAATAAACCCTTGGAGTTCGGTATTTTTGTTAATTTCTTAATATTTTTTTGTTCACTGCAAGTATATATTACATTTTGGTAAGAGAGCATACATTTCCAGGACAAATGTATAGTGACAGAATGAAAAGTATTTAGCATTGGTTATGTTCAAAATTAAAAAGTATTTGATCATGCTTTTTTGGTAGGAAGTGAAATAATGAGATGATAGCTTACATCTATTGAGAAAATGAGAATAAAGAGAGATTGAATAAATCAATATGTGATATAAATTACACTTAATATATTTTAGAACAAAAAAAAACTATATTAAGACACCTTAAATAAAACATAGACCCCCTAAAGTACCTAAAAAAGTGGTTAAAATGACAGAATCAAACAGTAAAGTACTCACCAACAACTCTGTCTATTTCTTCCTGAACTTTACTCTGGATCTGTGGTACAGCAAAGTACAACGTTATTCATGATGTATCAATGCCAGCTATAAAAATACATTGTAAATGATTCCTTCAATTTTATCATATGTTGTTTTATTGCATCACTGTCTTAGATTAGGTTTTAGTGCTAACACAATGTTTAACCCCACCATATTCTCTATTTCCCAGTTCCAACCCAGGCCCCTTAAATCAGATTGGTTGTCATTGGTTGTAACGTCCAGAATTGTTAAATGATAGCTAGTATACATTTTTGTTATGGGGCAAATTGAAGCCCGCCTCCGGTTGCAGGATTTTCTTGCTGCGTTGAAGACCCATTGGTGGCCTTGGACTGTTTTCTGCTCTTTGGTTGGGTTGTTGTCTCTTTGACAAATTGCCTATTTCCATTCTCAATATAATGAGTGAATTGTTTTTTGGATAGTTGTGAAATTGACATTTTAGATCAAGAATGAAAATTTTACACTTTAGTGTCAATATTTGATCCATCTATTCATTTATCAATGCATGAGATTTACACATGTTTTTGAGGGAAAAACAATATTTACTTTAGTACTTGTTTTGCAATTTCAGGGGATAAAAAGCATTAAATAAAACTTCTAGTTGTGTAAATTTTCATCAATTAGTACAGGAAAATGAAGAGTTCTATCCACCGTTTTCTAAATAATGAAATACCTATACCAAGCAAGGAATAAAACAGTTGTTTCCATTCGTTTGATGTGTTTGAGCTTTTGATTTTGTCATTTGATAAGAATTTTCGATTTAAATTTTCCATGGAGTTCGGTATTTTTGTTATTTTATTTTTTTCATATGAAAGAATCAGGTACACACATTCATTGAAATTTTATTAATGTATTTGATAGGTTTCTATGTATGTAACACATGTTATGTTCTTTATTCTGTTAACCTTGCAATGAGTTGTGAGTTTTTGCTCCCTGGAGTGACTTTTAGGTGATCAACAACATAAAGAGCCGTATTTTTTTGCTTTTTGTGTGGTCTAAGTGTGTGTAAGGATCTTATGTATAGATTATTACACTATATTCGTTCTTTTGCAATAAATGTTGATCCAATACTTAAAAACCCTTAATCACCGTTAAATATATCCATTAGCGTTTGTCTAAGATGTGTTTCAGTTAACTCAGACAACATTTCCTCGTTTTCTTCCTGTTCCGCTTTTTCGTGCCAGTATCAATGAATCGGTAAAATCTCTTATTTTGTCTGAAATTATTAATGCGAATATTTCTAGTTCAAACAATACATTGTAACATTTTATGGCAGATCTATTGAGAGAAAAACTATTCCTTAATATGTATTTATTAATTACACAATTTTAACCTTTCTTTATGTTCTAGTAATAAAAAGAGTTACCTTTCCATCAAATTCATTCATATAAAAAATAAAGGTGTGAGGAACACTTCAATGAGAAGCCATACAAAACATTATGCATACAAACTGATCTTTAACAAGGAGCATTTGTTTAAACATACAAAACTTGCTGACATACCAGACTTAAAAGTTTTATCATGTTTGTTGAATTTCCTTTTGACTATAGAAACAAGTTCATCCGCCAATTTGGTAACTGTTCTGTACTTATTAGTTGTCCATATTTTATACATAATTGGGAACATGTCTTCAACGAAACCCTTTCCTGTCATTTCTGTCAAATCATGGTCAATTTTCATAAATGTCACAAATTCAGGATCATCTAATTCAACACTAAAAGATAAAAAAAAGAGGTTTCACAACCTGAACTGGATCAATTGCACTGGTCTAGATCATTTGTTTTATAAACTACCCCTTCAAATTTGCTAAACACTTAAGTCAGAAACATTCATACTAGTGTTGTTCAGTGAAGATCGCTTGTTGATGTGGTTCATAAGTGTTTCTCATTTTTCGTTTTTTATATAGATTAGACCGTTGGTTTTCCTGTTCTGTTGTTTAAGGATCCCGTGAATACGAATGCGATCCATGTACACTTTTTGATCATTTGAATAAATGTTTTCTCAACCAAACACTGCAGTAAGATATTTGAATATTGTCATGATTTTAATTTAAAAAATATAATTATATTGCTACACTTATGGTCCAATAATCTGTTTTTATGAATGGAAAAGTAAAAAATATGAGTAACTTGTGGAAACGATATCCCCGACTTAAGTAATCTAGCAGTAATCTATTGATTACTTTCATTGAAATATAAAACGTCAATACAGACGATAGAATTGTGGATGTACAAACATTATGTACGGTATAATAACGGTATAATAAATAAATGCACTTCCAAAGCCTTGTTTCCTCGTCACTTGATGGGCTTCCTGTAACTTGAAAGTGAACGTAGCCATTTTGTTTACTTACGTCTGTGACGTCATTTTCATTGGAGACAACTCGTGTACAAATCAAGAAACTCAAAAGGGTTATCCATTGGTGAATTATAGGGTTATTCACCGCTGATGTAAATTTAAGGGTTATTCGTCCCTCCTTGCACTTTAAAGAAATTAACTGAATTATTCCATGTCACGTGATAGCGTGTTACCTAATAGCATTGTTTATAATATATGTAAGGTATAATAATGTGGATTATTTCTTTTAAACAGCTTAAACAACAATTTCTGAATATGGAACTATTTCCGCGTAGTAAAGGTTTTTTATAAAGTTGACCATTTCTTTTACAGATATTCATTCATCTTGAGAGCTGATATAGGTTATAACCTTTTACTAACGAAAAAATTGCATGAGTTAAAATGCTGTATGAAAATCAGTATAAAACAACAGCAAAAAAAATTAACAAAAATATAAAAAAATTCATCAGTCCAGAGAACACTACACAGAAAGAAAAACAAAAAATCAGCCACACTGACTTTACGTAAAAAACGGCGGAAAACTAATTCTGATGTAATTGATACGAAAATAGCGTCTTATCTGTTCCAGAAATCAACCAACGAATTATTCCGGAAAATTACATCTACAATTATACAGAAGTTATCGATGAATATTTTAGGAACATTCGGGTCTTCTGTCTGCAACTGTTGTACAGCAATATCATTTCAACTGTTCGTTGTAGACCTTAGTCCCTATTTGTACATTCAAAAGAGGCTATCGATAAATATTATAAGAGCACATAGGACGATATGCCTTCAATTGCTGTACAGCAAGAACATTAAAGCTCAACGTTGTAGACTCCCTTATCACTGCTAAAAAGCAGTAAGAAAAACACTCTGCATTTAGTGTATTGTCATTTCCGAGCATTTCACGAACATTTTATTTAATGTTAATCTACCTTATATCCAATCTATTTTTTAATTTTAAGAGCCATACCAATTCGGCTGTGAATAGCTTTGAAAAATGCAGTTTTTTTGTTTGTTTTTTTAATATGTCATTTCATTTCATAATCTTTGTATTGTATTGATCAATCTACTTGGAGTAGAACCATATATTGATTGATTTTTATGATAGGAACTGTTCCTATTGTTATTTTTAATTATATTTACATCGTTACAGAGGCGTTATGCGAGAGGAAAGCCGATTTCCCCAACTGACCATTTATTC